GTGTGTGTGTGTGTGTGTGTGTGTGTGTGTGTGTGTGTGTGTGTGTGTGTGTCTGACAGCAAGGAGACAAGCGGAGTGCTGGGGAGGAAATCAGTTTGGCGTTTACCTCATGAGTTGCGACTGGGACAGCTACTGGTTTTTGGGTGTTTCTTTAGTTTGTTATTGCTACGAGCTCTCATGCTAAAGGAGTATGAGACCGCGCAAGAGTTCTTTCCTCCCGACACAAGGGGTCAGCTGAGCCCCCTGTGCACTGGAGCCAGAGAGGGAGAGATGAAGTAAACGAACAAACAGGCAAATGAAAACTATCGTCCTCATGTTTTTATCGACCTCAAAATAATTTCTCATGCGATGAATTGATTTATTGATTATCATGACAGGCCTAATGGGGATGACTCAAACCTACCAAATTTTAAGGTTATAACAATTTTTGTGTTGGCCAAAGTTAGTTGTAGCAGCCTTCTTCAGTCAGGTTCAGTGAAAAAGGTAACCAGTAGAAGATAAACAGTACATCACTGGAATATCTCCAGTGTTCTCTTCATGGTATATTTTGCAAACAATGACAAACTAACAGACAGCCAATCAAAACGCACACAGGCTAATACACAATTGCCTACCTTCATAACATTGATAGATATAAAAAGAATGATACTTAAAGAAAAGACAGATTTTTGATTTTTCATGCTGTTTAATAAATTTATTAAATTAGCTTTTAGTAGGCCAGCTTAAAAACAAACAACCCTCCCACAAGAAACAGAAAAAACCTGCTGTTATTTACATTTTCTTTCATTGCCTCATGTTCTGTTTGACCAGAATCCCCCCACAACTTCTGAAATTGTCCTTCCTTGTTATTGATACAAGTTGTGTTGGGATTCATTACTCAACCTTGGTTTCCATTGACTGCTTCACACACTTATTTACTCATCAGCGTTCAAGGGAGCTCTCATTTTTCTCTTCCTCTTCATCTACTACCACCCACCCCCCATCTCACACATTTTGTCACAGGCCTAAGGCTGGGCAGTAATCTTGAGAGACATTTGTATCCCCATTATTCACATTCTTCAATTTAAGAAAAGAAGGGCAAGGAAGTAGAAATGTGTGAAGAAAATAGCTCTGAGTGCAAAAAGATGGGAAGAAAAGCAGGATAGGGGAAAATCTGATGGAGGAATATAAGAAGAATGATGGTGAAAAAATGTCAAATCAAACGGCTGGCTGGAAATGGCTGACATAATGAGAGGGAGCAAAGATGAATCTAAGATAGAAGTTAGAAGACTCAAGGGTTCAGACACCCCAACAGTTGGTAATCAGTTCATATAACATTATTAGTAATAATAATACTGCTTTAAAAACAGTCTGATGTAACATGTAAGGGCTAATTTTGTGGAAATATTATTTGCCTATTGTTAGTCAATGGTCCTCTTTTGCAT